TCAAAACCATTGAAGTTCGAACTGTAGGGTCATCGTACTCGAGGAGACTAAACCCCTCCGAGGAGCACAAAAAACCAGCTACAACATAGCAATAAGCTTTGTCTTTGGTCCTTCCATGCTGCCATCAACGAGTTATGAATAGTTAAATCAGCATCAACTAGAACTATTGAATAAACTGCTAAATCGATTGCTTCAACCGAATCACCTACTGTGGATTGTGAATCCACCATGCGCGGGTTCAATTCCCTTCATTTTCCTATAACTAATTTGCTACAATCAGGGGGTACCTAGGTTTTGATTTCCCTACTTCATAATAGAAAGGCAGACCCGAAGCAAAGAAAGAAGAAAAGGGCAGGCATAAACAAGAGATGCCACCACTGATTGCCTATATTAGATAGGAGATAGGATAGCGGACCCTATCTCTTACAAAAATAAATACAAGAATCTTGGTTGAAAAATGGGACGCTACTCCGATAGCTTCCTACTCGCAGCTAGGAGAGGAATGAAAACTACAAGGTAACGAGCTCAGAGGAAAGAGGCAGCAGGTTTGAATCTTCTATTGCTGAAAGAATGAAAGAATGGGGAGCTAACCTTTGAGAAGAATCAAAAATAAAAATGGAAAGTGTTCAATTGGAACATGAAAACGTGACTAAATAGGTCCTATCGGGACAGAGTGGAAGAAAGAAGGAGATTCTTGAACGAGGAAAAGGATCCAATGACTTAAAAAGAATTGAATGAGGAGGCATATGAGGTGAAAATCTCACGTACAGTTTTGTAGAGTGGCAGTAAGGGTGGCAAAGATGGTAGAGAATATGATTCAAAACAGCCCTCATACTTTGAAAGATAAATCAAATATCAAGTCATCAAGGGAAACGGAAAGAGAGGGATTCAAACCCTCAGTACAAATAACTCATAAAACAGATTAGCAATCCGTCACTTTAGTACACTCAGGCACCTCTCCCAATAAAAAAAAAAGATAATTACTATGTTACATTACACGTAAAGTAAGGATTAAAAAAAGTCTTTCTTTCTCTCTATTTATCTTTATCATACAGATATGTTACAATTTTTATCAGCAATTCCATTTAGATAAAAGAAGGGCTGGAAAGATCCAATATAAATATAAAGAAAAATCAAAATAAAGAAGACTTACTTTTCTTTGATTTTGTTCGGAAAGGCCTTTTTTTATCCCATGGCCGAGCTAGGTCAGTATCTATCCTGGCCTTTTTTTGTTCCAACAAATCATAGTATAGATTGAAGAAAAATACTTGCTATTAAAGCAACAAGAAAGTATCCTTTCTTATTAGTCCTTTCTTCTCTTTGTATTTGCTTTTTTTTTTTAATTGCTTTACTGGAATATATAAAAAAAAATAAATAAATAAACTATGAATTCTTACACAATGCATTTTTTGTTATGATTTCGGTGTTTTTATCGAGCCGTATCTATCAAAATTCCTCCAGTAAAAGAAAAGAGAAAACTTCTTTTTTAGTTATTTAAATGAATCCTCTAGTATGGCATGGGTTACTTCAGCGTCGTATTAGTTGCCACTCATTTCTATTTAGTTGGAATCTTTTCCTTAATCTAAGTGACATTGGAAATATTTACTGATTGGTGTTGAATTTTCTTTTTAAATGGCAGATGGGAGAACTCAAGAAATTGGTGGAAGAGGGTAAAATAAAATACATTGGTTTATCAGAAGCAAGCCCAAACACAATAAGGAGGGCACATGTTGTTCATCCTATAACTGCTCTACAAATGGAGTATTCCCTTTTGACTCGAGACATTGAGGAAGAAATAATCCCGCTTTGCAGGTGCTTCATATTGCTTCCAAAATTCTGCAAAAATCTTCATCTTGAGTTTACTTACATCTTATTAAAAAATTTGGAGGCTCCTGTTCAAATGTGGCTCTTTGTTAAAATAAAAAATTCATCCACAAAAAGATGTTTGAAAGGGCTGCTTTACTTAATAGTACGGCCCAAGTTCAAGTTATGGAAACCACCTCTCCAGAAGTGGGGGTTAGGCTGTGGGCATCTTGCCCTCCTAAGACCTCGCTTTAGCCTCATGTACTGGGTTGCCATTTTTTATTCACAAAAATATGTTTATCAGGAGAAGACACCCTACTGTCTGTTTGAACTTCAATTTATAATAATTTATTTTATTTTTTTATTGTGATTTCTTCTTTAGTGGAATTTGCATCTTAAACTTCTAGCCATTTACTATTTTCAGTTACACTTCCAATTTGTTTTGATATTTCCTTTCATCATATTTTTTTCTAAACCATGTTTTGGTTATCAGGGAACTTGGAATTGCGATAGTTCCATATTCCCCTACTGCTCATGGTTTTTTGCTGGCAAGGCAGTTGTGGAGAGTGTCCCTACAAATAGCTTCTTGGTAATGAACTGGATCTATATCTTTTATTTACTTCAATTTAATTAATGTTGGATAAAAATCATCTCTGTGAACTAATGCTCTTGTTTTGGCAGAAAATGTATTTTAGAAAACGTTTTCCACATTATCTGGCATTTGGTATAATCGAAAATCAAAGGCAACTGAAAATGTTTTCTGTGGTCAATAGAGAACAAGTTTACTTAGGCGGATAACATTTTCTACTTTTGAAAGGTGGAAAACGTTTTCCGAAATAAGGTCTTACCAATGCCGCCACACTAGTATCATCAACACCCTACCACAGCCACCAACACCCTACCACAACCACCAACTCCACTAATACAACAAACAACTAGTACATTAGTTTCAAGGTCTCAAACAAAGATAGGAAAACATTTTCTACGAAAAAATTTATTGGAAAATGTTTTTCATAGGAAAATAATCCTTGCTGAAACAGAGTGTTAATTCATTCAGACATTTCCTCTTTTGGTTAGTCAAACAACTAGATGAATGGATGACTGACTTTTTCTTTCCATCAGCTAGCACTTCCTAGGTTGACAGGGCAGAATTTAGATCACAACAAGATCTTTTATCTTCGAATAGAAGAGTTGTCTAAGAAGCATAGCTGCACCCCTGTTCAACTAGCACTTGCTTGGGTTCTTCATCAAGGAGATGATACAGTGCCTATTCCCGGTGAGTGACTAATCAAAATTTTAATTTCCTGGTAATGAGTAATACGTGAAAAGTTATGGAAAAAGTCCCAGAAGGTGAAATGAATCCTTGAACAAACCTCGAAAACTTTTAATTCCCTGGTAACTAGTTTGATATGTAGGAGGTTGTGGTCTTTCTTACAATCCAACCTAAACCTTGCCGAAGTATATTTTTTGGCTTTTGAATTAAATTAAATGTAACTTCTATTGAATGATTAGTTTTTATTAGTTTTTTTGAAAATTCTTGAGTTTTTTAATCATATTTGGATGTTTACTGAATGTTGTAATAATATTTTGTTATTGTTTCAAGTGGATGTTTATGCAATCAAATCACCTGTTAACCAATTTAAGAGAGAGATCCTTGCTGATTTTTGGAGTTTATTTTCACCAAACTAGTGTTCAGTATTTTTTAAAAAACAAGTTCTGAAAACAAAACCAAAACTTCCAAATGTGCTCCTTAATGTTGTATTTCGAATGGTCAAGTTGTATTTAACCTTGCATTGTACATTTGCAGGGACAACTAAGATTAAAAACCTTGATGAGAATATTGGTGCCTTGAGAGTGAAGCTCACAGAAGATGATTTAAAAGAGATATCTGATGCAATGCCCATCCTCGAGATCGCGGGGCCTAGAATATATGAAAGTTTACTCGTGTCTCATATATTTTTGCAGACACACCGTTGCCAAAGAATTCCAAATGATTGGATTTATATTTTTTTGTGATAATGTTAATAGTGTTTTTGATCAATTTTGTATTTCCTCTTGTTGCTTGTTGTGGCTTTGGTGTGTTGTCTTAATAACATTGTGGCCACTGCGGCTGAAACCCGCGCATGTTTGGATGTGTTCCGATGGTGTCAAGTTCGGGCTCCAAATTTTCACAGATTACTTATGGTTGGTCGAACAGCTTCATGGTACATCATCAAGCGATTGGGCCTCACAACTGCTAATTTTGGAGATTTGTTCTTTACTTAATGGTTTTAATTATGTAAATATATGTAAGTCGGCAAGTAGTCGAGCTGGCTCATGTTTTTGCTAAAACTGTCCTTCGTGGCAGTTAACAAGTAATATTTGGTTATGTCTACAATGAAAGTCGGTTTAGCATTTACTATCAAAAAATAAGATTATGATGTCAGTGTATTTTTTGGCTAAGCATTTTCATAGTATAAGATGAATGAGATGTGAATACCAAGTTTAATGCCCAAAATGTAGCCCCATAATTGAGAAAAAATAGGGGAAACTCTCTTTTAAATCTTTTGTGTCACATGATAGGATTCTAGTAGGTTAATATAGTTAGATTACTACAGTAGGTTTAACGTCATTATGTTGACTCGAATTGTAAATCTCACTTCACTGGCAATTAAGTACTCCGATCATCGGTTATAGTTTGATTCCATCAAAGCTTGGCAGTAGTGGAAGAGAGGGCTGTCGTTTGTGGCAGTGGCAATGACCGTGTCAGTCTTATTGGTAGTGGTGGTGGTGGATTTTGGGGCAATATTTTCTTGGTCTACAAAAATGTCAACTTTAACCATTCAACCAATGACTCTCCTTATAGCATTTCTTATTAACCACCCAATTCTTTGCAACATGATTTGTTTGGCTCTGTGCTCCTTGACCTCATGGAAGAGCTTAACTCAACCATCAAGTGACTCTCCATATAGCCTTTTTTATTAACCACCCTATAAGGGGTGTTTGGGAAGTTGGGTTGGGAGGATTTTTTAGCTAAAATAGTTAATAAGATAAAATGACACATTCAAACTATAATTATTTATTTTTTTTCTCACAATCATTAAATCAATTACCAAAAAAAAAAAAATCAACTATCATTTCAAACATAACTTTTTTAGACAGATTCAAATAATTAAACAATTAAAAAACCAACTAAAATAATCAATATATATTTTGACAATAGAATGAATGTTCATAACCATATATATCATTACAATTAAAAAGTGATAGTCAATAGTAGAATGTAACCACACAATAGTCTTTTACACATAAATAATAAAAAGAGAAGTCATTGGAAATCCAAATACAACCAACATGACAAGCACACAACATGACAACAAATAGAAGGAAAAATAAAAAGAACTTCTAGTCTCCAACAGCACAACAGGCACACAAGCATCACCAACCACTTTCTTTGGTTCCTCCAACTTTCGTTCCTGTTAAATAAATAAAGTAAAAATAGAAAAAAAAAAAAACTAAGATGTAAGATGTAAGAAATGTGTTAAAAAATAAAAAATGAAAAACAAAATTCTTAAAGATGTATGTAAAATATGATATCAATTATCACATGAGTGACACATGAGATGGGTCAATTACTATGGCCCTGTTTGGTAGAGCTGTGGGAAAGTGCTTATAGTTTATGTCTTAACAGCTTATAACTTATAACTATGAACATAAGCTGATTTCTGACTTATAAATTAAGCTTCTCCTGCCCTACTCAAAAAATAAGCTGATTTCTGACTTACAAAAAGCTATAAGCTGCATTGTTAAGCTAAACCAAACACATCAAAATAACTTAAATTAAGCTGAAAGCTGAAATAAGCTGAAAAAAAATTGTACTAAACAAGGCCATATCGATTATCACACTTGAGGTAGGACATGTGCTGATGTGAAACTATGAGGTGGAGATGCTATTTAAAATATAGCACTACCGCCTTACTTTTTACACATTGCCAATATTAATTTAAACTGTAACTAATGCATATTATAGGAGGATTATCCCATTTTCTAAGCACAATTTTTTAGATAATTGAATGATTGAATCATAATATCTCTTCACAAATCGTTTCATTTGTCTAACTCACTAAACTAGCAAGGAACTAAATGCTTGGATTCATCATTTGGCAGATAAGAAAACAAGCTCTATGAAAACTAGTCTATATATGAATTAGTTTAATAAAAATAAAAATAAAAACTCCTAAAACTCTTGTTTTGTGGAAATTCACTAAATTCCAAAAATATTTTATAAAAAAAAAAAGAAAGAAAAAGAAAATTCAACATGCTTTTAAGCAATTTTTTTTTTTTTACTTTTTACATGTAACTAACCTAGATGTACCTTAAAAGTAAAATATTTGTAAAAAAATATTTTAAAAAATTAATAAATATACAAGAATACGAAAAAAGTAAAAAAATTACTTAAAATATTTTAAAAAATTCCTTAAAAAAAACACAATTTTCAAAAAATTAAAACCAAACAAGGTGAATCTTATATGTTTGGTTTGTGTTTGAGAGATAAAAAGTACGAAAAGTTGTTTGGTTTGGTTTTTTTCAAAAGATGTTTTGAAAAATTATTTTGAAAGAAAGTTTTGGAAAAAGTGATTGATTTGATGTGTGTGAGAGAGAGATTTGTTTGGAAAAGTTGTTTGGTTTACAAGTTTTGAGAAATTTTTTTAGGAAAATTTGTTTGGTTTGATTACTTTTAAAAACTTATTTGTAGAGAAAATTTTCCGAAAATTTTCCAAAAATTTTTCAGAAATACAAACCAAACGAACCCCACCTAGCTAGTTTACCAAACATACATTGTTAAGAAAACACACACACACACACATATATATATATATACTATATATTTAATTATACATAGAACAAATAAACTTTACAATATATTTTCTGGCAGCAACGATTACTCACCTGTAACTTGTTTTCTTTGTTAGTAAGGCCACTCACCCGGCTCTGCCGTAGCCCAATTTTTGGGGACAGGGATGGACCTTAATCTCTCTGGGATGCTAATATACCTCTCAAGGTTGTTCAAACCCAAACCCCGAAGCAGAGGCATTCCTCCTTCATCCACTTGTAACTCCTCCACAACACAATAGGAAAGAATTAGAATTTCGAGCTGAGGGAACCCTCCTGCAGTGCAAACAAATTTATTTACTCTGTGGTGAAACAAGTCAAGAATTGTCAGCTTTGGAAGCTTCTCCAATGACGGCATAGGATCTTCCCCCATTTCAAATCCAAACAAGGAGAGGTATTTGAGATTCGGTAAGAATTCGTGCATCTCTGTTGGTAGCTTTCTTATATGTCCATGTAACTTCAATTGAAGGAGGTGCTGGCAGTGAGAAAGTGGTTGCAGTGTAGGATTCCAAACAGTTTTCGCAAATATAAATAATTTTTGAAGGTTTCTTAATCTACCAATAGAGTCTAGAGTGAACCCCCTGCTTTCTCCATTAAACATTACCACAAGCTGACGAAGATTGATTAAATCCCTTGATGGATTAAATGTTAGGATCAAACACACCCAGAAATATATCTCACACACACAGGGAACACAATATTTACGTGGTTCGGCCCAATGCCTACATCCACGGACAGAAATGAGAAGTTTTCACTAAAATGGAGCAAAATACAAAATACAGAGGAGGAGATGAAACTCACTCAACTCACAGCTCTCACTCTCTAATTTCTGATCTGTATCTCATCCTCTCCCTCCCGTCTCTATTTATACACAAAGGAGTAGGTGGGAGAGCCTTCATTCTTGACTTTTGACATGGTTGGTGGCCACCAAGCTTGACTTGGTTGGTTGTCTTCCTTTGTTGACTTGGGTAGCCTCCATGCTTGACTTCGGCAGCCTCCTTCTTTGACATGGTTGGTAGCCTACTTCCTTGTTGACCAACCAAGGTGTGTTCACAAGATAATTTCCCCTTCACATGGGGTGAATTCAACATCGCCCACAGAAATTCAATCAATTCAATGACACAAGTCCATTCATTTCTGATAGCAATTGTTAACATTTTATGAGCTTCATATAAAGGCTATTACAATTTCACTAATCATTTCACAAATAGAACAATCTTTGCATTAAATTACTACTCCAAAAATATAGACTGATGTGATGTTCATATGACAACAACAGCACCCTTAGTCTATATTGTATTTGACCATTATTCATTAAAACCATAGTTGTCAAATCAAGATTCGAATCGTGAATCGAAATGGCCATGTACCGAATCACAAATCGAATTGTAAACTGTAAAGATTCAGTCACTTTTACCAAATTACTTTAAAATATATATCTATACAGTTGGATGTTAAATATATCTTATAAATATAAAATATTTAGACTTAAATTAATAAAAATACTATTTTGAATGATGATCATGTGGTCTAATAGGTAAGAAGTTAACACACTTCTCATGTAAGATCACGAATTTACCTTTTTCCTTTTTTAGATACTTCTTATCAACCATTTTTAGTAAAGCAAGTAAACAAAGATAGACTCTCAATTTCCAAGTAACAATAACTTCACAACGATGTTGATATTTGGACAATAAGCATACATACCTTTCCAAGTAAGAATAACACAATAATAAAAAAGAATTAATTGGAATCCTTTATTTCAAAAACTAGAACATTTTAAAAGGTATATATGCTTGTTCAAAAAAGTAATTTTTTTTCTTTTTTTTTTAAATAGAACTTGTTTAACTGACCTCACTCATGTAACATAGAACTATATTTATTTCAATAAAATAGCAATAGATAATTCATGATGCAAGTTACTTTACCCTTAAATATCTTTAAAAGTTATATTATGATTTTTATTGAGGAAAAAAAAAAAAGAAAATGTTAAAAGCATATTGAGTCTGACTAAATCTGATTAGATCCTACTAAAACTCTCTGATCACCAAAATAACAACAAATTATGTATATATATTTTTCTACTAAATACTACTAGAAGTTGTATTACGTCATTTTTCACAAAAAAACAAGAAATAAAAATAATCGAAATATGCCAGACACAACAGTTTCAAGAATTGCTTAAATCATAAAAAGTGAATCAAATCGTGCGTCGATTATGAATCGTGCGATTCATTTTAATTCACTTTCAAAATAGATTCACTTATAGATTCGTATTGATTTTGCAAAAAATACTAATCGAATTGTGATCAAATCGCAAATCGTAAAATTTTGATAATAGAGATTACAACAACAATTGAAAGCAATTTGAATTGTTGACATTCTTACAAACAAACAATTTATCATGTTAGCAATATAACAACATGAATCTTATACACACACAAATAATCATTCTATAACATAAGCTGTAACCACCACATATGCTATTCTAATAGGGAACCCCTACTTCCCCAATAATCATGAAATATATGCCAAAGATTAACCTTCACAAAAACTTTCTAATCCCAAGGTGCAAAATAGAATCAATTTGATGTCCCATTAACAAGTAGCGTATTAGGTTGAAATACAAAATTCCAATTCAAAGAAGCAAATCAAACGTCATTTCTCATCTTTGCCTAAGTTGCTTGGTTTACCAAAGTGAGAGAGGAGAAACACAAGACACGTGCAACTATAACAGGATAAATTATTAAAATAGAAATAAAAACACCATTCATACAATGGATTAACATTGCACCTGTAAATTCACACCAGTGGGGCAAGCTAACACATTCTAATTGACCAAGACACAAGGTATATAGATACATCATGAACAGGCCACTCAAATAAACCACCGCTACCATGTGCCAACTTGCAAGTTGCATCACCTCACCAACCTAGGAAGAAAAGCTGGCCATTTTTTCCCTCAGCTTTCAGTCCATGCTTAATAGCATTGTACTACAGCTGCTAAAGTTCCCTAGTAGTGAACAGTTCAGAAAGAGAACCTCAAAACTAAGTACCCATTTTGCAACTTTACTTTTTAGTGGTTTTTTTACTTTTTTATGCGGTGAAAAAGGGTGAATGTGTTTGGAATGATTTTTTTAGTTGAATAAATAGTTGCGAGGGAAAAAGTGATTGATTGCTGTGACCTTTTGCTAATAGGGTTGAACTTTCTGGCTTTTTTAGCCAAAAAACCTCTTGCCAAACAGGGCCTCAATTGTCATCAACCATGGAGGGGGTGAATTCAACATCGCCCACAGAAATTCAATCAATTCAATGACACAAGTCCAGTGTGAGTACTAGTTAAAGTATCCCACACACAAAAAAAACTTAATAATTCACAAGCAATCCCATAACTTCATCATGTTTTCTATCCATTATGCAAATTTAATTATGGCTTTCATGAGGCGTATTAACACTTTCTAAAAAATTACGACATTGATTTTTCTTTCCTTTCTTTGATATAAATACATACTATATAGGTCTCTATTATTACAGATCAAAGCATTCACTGTGCTGAATCAGGCAATCCAAGTCATAACAGACT